CAAATCGTAAATTTGCAAAAAATGAATTTAGATCTTCATTTTCATTATGATAAGGCCTTGATCCATATCACCTACGATTTCGCTATGTCCATTTAATTAATGCGGAAACACTCTGTATAGGTTATCTCTCGGGACATTGGTAGGGTCAAAAGATTTTTGAAATGATTTGATTTTTGTGTGTTGGAAGCTAGACAAGGAGATGGTGGAGTGCCGATGGACGTTAAAAGATAAAATTTCTACGATTTCTATTGGAATATTTTTGAAACCATTGACGCTCCTAAGAAGATATTCTATGGCAGTGAGAGCTAAAGTCAGTCGGCAAGGGTCAGAATAAATAGCACAAACACTTGTGTGTAATGCATTTTCACGTAGTCATGAATATTTCTAGCTCTTACAATGAAACAAAATACTAAGGGCCAATTTCACCAACATTAATATTATGGACCAATGGAAAAATACCTTATCGAAATGCAATTTGACGAAAGCTGTCAAAGGTCTCTGAATATTAGTGATTTCTATTGAAATATCGAATAAAATCGTGAAAATTCGACTGTATTATAAACAAGACCACTTTTTGATTCCAACATGATGCTTTTGTACAGAAAAAACAGAACAACTTTTATGTATTTTGATATATGTTATAGGTTTACATTTAACAATCCGTTATCCCCCTCAGCGCATGGGAATGCGGCAAATAATAGGTTGATTTTCTAGCTGTTAAATTTGGTAGCAGATTTGGACGTTTCTTAATGCATGGCACTCTTGAATTTACCAACTTCAATATACTGAAAGTTATCATTTCATACCTGTTGAATAGTGTGGATTTGTCTGTATTTTGCAAGAAAATAGAATATAAAATACATTCCATCCAATTCCTCATCTTCCTTTATGCCATAATAGTAATCATTTATTAATTTATGGGATAATAAATTTCTTCAAAGCAATAAAAACATTATGTCCTCTCCATCCTAAAACACAGATAACATGTGTAGGACGTGTCAATCCCTACATCTCCCTGATGCATAATGCAATTACTATGGACATAGACACAAAATCATGAAAAATGTTTCACAGATAATGGCTGTTAAGTTCAAAAATCAAAAAAACTGTTTGTCTATTTTTTTGACTGGTGGGGATACCTATCTGACACTCGCAGGGTTTCCAAGTCTAACGACGATCACGTGGTGGAGGGTGCGAAATGAATCTTTTACATTTGCTGGTTTTGAATTTGTTTCGTGAAAATTTACTAGGTATCATGGTTATAAGCATCTTTGGTAGATTGTTCGACCCGGAATGGGAAAGATCTCCTATTTATGAAAATATTTTTGGTATCATCTAACCGTTGCAATCAGTGCACAAACACTGTGACATATGATTTATAGCATAACCCGCTGCCCTATCAATACAAATTTAACATACAGGTCGAATAGCCGTGGGGATGCAGTGGTCGGGATGAATATCACGGCAGCGACTGATGATTTGGGCACGTCTGGTAAGAACGTTTGAAGTGAAAGTCGCTAACTTCACAGATTTGAAGATTTTGTACAATTTCTGTGAAAATGATGAAAGATATGTCTGATTTGGGAGGGTAATGTTGCAGCCAAATGGCACAGTTTCGATCGAAAGATGACGATACTCGTGAAATGTATTGATACTTCTAAATATAAGATCCTATCGAACATCCCTATTATCAAGACGTATAACCCAAGGTACCGACGGAGCTATTTAGCGGAGTCATGGAAATAATTGTAAATTTTCATTTGCATTTTTTCAAGTGTTGTGCAATGATTTTGGGAAAAATGTCACGTATAGTCTTATAAAGCATAGTAGAGTATATTTCAACAGTTGGCGGAAGTTACTCCACTGGGACCAGGAGGGTGAAACGGGATATTAATGCACAATCTGGCAACCCTGTCGCACCCTCATAAAATGGCCGCTGATAACCACACAAGTCACCGTGTTGTCATTGAATAGCATGGAACTAAACCTCCAGAGTATTATATGTTTTGGGACTGGTACCAAGAGTTGACAGATCCCACACATGTGTCACTCCTTGAAATGCAATAATCAGCTGTATTCAAATAATGTCTAATATAAATATAACCTAGAATGTGTACTCGTGAAAAAAGAAAAATATGGCAAATTTGTAGTTTTTGCAGGAAAGTGGAAAATCTCTGACATGTGAGGCAACTTGGAGTGAGATGAGATTATAACTGAGAAAGTGGCCAAAATAGAAGCTACTGAAATCAGCCTTGTGTGGTCTAAACTGTTAAACATTACCAAGCTATTCAATCGCGTTTTTTTTTCAGTGAAGCCCATGCTGGACTGGTAAATATTCCAAATTCTTATAACAGAACCAATTTATACATTCATGTTTTTTTGGCGCGCATGTTGAACTAGTTTTTCACTCATTCTAGAAGCACATAACTTGAAGCAACTCGGGCTGGTGTTGTCTACTGTCTTCGGCTCCGATTTCCATCCTTGAATGCAGCCGTGCTGTTTGCTCGTGGTTTACTATTATTTTTTCCATGATTCATCATATTAACACGGAAAAGGACAGATTACTGCACGCGACACGACATGAGAGTTGTTTAATATTGTTTTGGGAGCAACTTTAGGATCAAAGGTATTAACTAAGGTAGAGTATTTTAAACACAAAAACTGCGCTAGTTTTATCAGAAGAAAACGCTATATCTCTGAGCCACAGAAGCAAAACGAACCTTAGGATTTCGATTTTCCCATCACCAGTGTGATGAAATGACAATTTGTCCCTTCTTGGATTACTTCAAATAGTGATGTGCTTTCCAGTTCGTTTCATTAAGTTGCGTTCAGTTCTAGGAACTAGTTCGTGAACCAACTACTTTATGCAACAATACCACAAAAAATATATATACAGAAACAGAGAAGATATTCCAGTCTTTCAGTCGCGATAACGTAAAAACGATTCAATTCATATTTTTTAACCGTTCCAATACATTCCACTGATCGCAAATGTATTCTCCCATCACTAACATTATGAGACACTAATTTCAAAAGTCAATTCCGGTCTCCTTTGGTCTATTCTCCTTCTCCAACGTCACTGTATTCTATGTTTTGTGATCACTTGTTTTGTTATGTGTGGACAATGGAATTTTTTAACAACAAATTTCCGTATAAAGGTGCTCCCTCCAAGATTTTTTTGTGAAGAAATACATATTACACTGTCGTGTACACGTTAAATCAGCACTAAGCCCTAAATACGTGGTTATGTTGAATGTACCATGTACCGTCACCGATGATGCGACCGATTATACACTGAAATTAAAACAAAAAACTGCAACTGCAATTATTGTATGTATGAATGTTGAAACTTTTGAACAGTCTCGGACCAGTGGGGTTAAAATATCGTTGAGGAACTGGAAAGAAAGGTGTGAATGTGTTGAAATGCAACACCTAACAAAAATTTGAGTGAAAAGGCTTTTTCATGTCAAGGATTTGGAAGTGCAAGTTTGCAAATGTGGGATAAACTATAAGCACACAAAAGTTGCAATAAACATGGAAAACCTTCAGCTAATCTGAAACAATAGATTTTACTCGGACATCAAGCATTTTTAAAAATGTTGGCTCAGTTTTACATAATCTCATAATATTTAATAAACTGAAAAGATTTCAATGGCAAGCTGTCACTTCATATTTTACAGTGTTTTGTTTTGAATACCTTGATGCTATTTGCTGCCAAAAATTTGATGGCGAGATCTTGAGGCTGATTAGGTATATTTAACGGACTGTTTGGTACTCGTACCCTATTGGTGCAGAATAATGGTTTGTTAAATTGTGAAATCCACCCTTAATCTTGAATGAGTGTTTGAGAAAGGAAGGGGTTTATGAAGTGATTCTTTGAGAATATCAGCAACTCAAATGCTAGAGTTGAAATGTTCATAACATGCATATTAATTATGTGATCTTTTTTCCCAATGTTACTTGCCATAGTAAGGAGGAAATCACATTTGTGATCTTGTATGTTTTCTTTTCAATGTTTGATGAATTTTTTTACTGAATACGATTAAGCGTAGCGTAGGTTTACAAAAATAACTGTAATAGGAAAGCAGCGTGACCCCTCCTGAGAATCCGGTTGTTGCATATATTTTGCATATTTAGCATGTTTTTGAGTGCAATTTTTAGGATTTGCCCCCTGAGAAAATTTACTACTCCCGGCTCCTTCTGCGGGCGGCCAGGTGCCCAGGGAGATCTTGATGGCTTTTGGGCATAGTCAGCTGTGTTTTTATATTCTAATTGAAATTAAAATTCTTCTTTTTCTACGTATATCAACCCTCAAATCATATTAGAGCAACCAACAAAAAAAAAAAAGACCCAAAAATGCCAAAATTAGACAAGATGCATTTTTAAAGTATCGTCATGACTCAAGACGTTTGGAATAAAACATCAAATATATTTAGATCAAATCAAATCAAAGAACAATACATCCTTATAAACAAATAAAAATGAAATTATTCAAAGTAGCAAATTTGTAAAAAACATATGAAAATGTATTTAGGGTGGTCCATTTATAGTGATCCAACGACGCAATATTCAGCAATTGTGCTCTGTATTTATTTTCTGCTATTATTGTAGATTTTATGGTTAATTAATTTTTCCTTAGAAGAAAACTTGCTTTTCAAAAATATTAAATACTTTTAGCAATAGATTGTACAAAAATCAGTTTGATTGAACTACAATAACAGCTTCAAGAATGAGATACTGTAAACCTTCCTTTCCGCAAAAAGTCCAGAAAAGATGGAATGCAATGAAGATTCCAACTTTTCTGCACAATCACAGAAAGGGGGTTACCATTAGCTTCCGGTAGCTCAGTCGGTAGCATGAAGACATCTTCAGGCGTGTAGCTGTGTGTCGACCATGGCATGGCTAGAGGATAGAAGAACAAACAGAACACAAAAATTTAACAGATTTTATTTAACTAGAAAAGCACTTTCGTTACATTTGAAATTGAAATTTTAAAGAACAAAATGAAAGATTTAAATCTTTGGCGCTGATACAAAATCATCCACTTATCTTTCGCTAAGCTGGTCCATTTTGACTGGACTGAAGCGAGGATGCCCAGGTGCTTCAAGTGGAGGTCCCAGTTATGAGGAGTGACCTCACATTTTGGGGCTTCAAAACTAGATGTAGGCGAAGGATGCAGTGAAGTTGAACTTAAAGGTGATCTTCATTAAGGATGAAGCTGTAAGTGATGGCGCAGCCAAAGCACATGCATGGGTGAAGGCATTGCAAAGTGATAGGCCAGGCAAGGCAAAGTCAAAGACAAAGGAAGGCATAGTCAAAGACAAAGGCAAAGGCAAAGGGGGTAGCCCAGTCTGAAAAGAACCGTGTGCATTAGCAACGTGCCCCAATGGCCAAGGCATTTCCAATCTCAGTCTGCCTCAAAAGAGAACCAACGATTTTCTAGGTTAGAATTACATTACATAGTTTGATAAAATCAAACCGAAAATTGGAAACGCCTTTCATAAAATAAAATCATGAAATAGCAAAAAAAGCGTAACACAAGATGGTGGCCATCAAAAATTTCTCCACATGCTTCTGATATAAAAACACAAATATCGAATATTGATATATCATAATTTCACTGAACTATGAATATATGTATATACGCACACAGAGGTAAAATCGATCTGGATCGATTTCTACCTCGATTTGATTAAAGTTATGGCGAATGATCGATGTAGTCGAAAATGACGTTCGATGGATATTTTAAAATCGTACAAGAAATAAACCACTTACATATCGATTATCTATAAACTACAGGCAGATCCAGCAATAAAACTGTATAGTATTATAAAACTCACCATTTTATCCTATTTAGACACACATTTTACAAAACGCTAGCACATGGTGCTATATAACCTCATGCTACAGAGAACAAAATTCTCAGCTCTTGTTAGATCCGCGGCTCAAGTGAAAAGGAAGCGCGAGGAAGGTCACAGATCAGGAACTCCGCATCAAGCGCGCTCCAAGCGGAAATGTTTCCAAGTAAAAAAGCTAGAGATGGGATAAGCTAGAGATGAGATTAATGAGTTGTGAAACCGTTACACTCGCCCCTGCTTAACCAGAAAAAGAATTTTTTTTTATTTAACAAGGAAATTGAAAGTTATCACCTAAGGACAAATGTACAACCATTCGACCAGATAACAAGTAGCAAAAGTAAGGTAGAAACAAAAATGTTAGAAGAGAATTGGAAGAAAAAGGGATAGCCTCAAGTGTACCAAACAAGAGGGATGGTTATAGCACCAACTCGCTGAAAAGTACAGTGAAGTTGCACTAAAAAAAACTATCATCATATGGTGAACAACCCAAAACATAAAACATCGTCACACCTAGGACGAGAACAATAATAAACCAAAAGCTTCAGCAGTAGTCCAAGCACGAAGTGAGGAATCACAATGGCATCCAAAATGCACGACTGACTACTAAAAACTTCAAAACTAAGTAAGTACCTAAACCATAAGAGGTACTAAAAAAACAGAATAATAAACTTTCTCAAAACAATTGCCAGATTATCTCGCAATGCTCCAAACCCAAAAAGAATATCATCTACAGTGATATTTTAAACCAATATCCAATATAAAAAAAACTATGCATTACTATTTTCAAAATATGAAAATCAAAAGAAATTAACAAATTCTATTAGGAATTCAAGTCATATAACAAAACAATTTACAAGTACTGAACCAATGAAAACTTGATCAAGATGGTATTTTAATCAAAAAAGATGTTAACTAAGTGCAGTTTTGATTCCACAAAAAAATTGTCTGGCGCCAGCAGTCTGTAAGACTACAAAATAATTCAAAATGTTTTCAGAGAATTAAAGTATATAATAGACATTTATGAAATATTGAAGTAAGATTACTTCAAGTCAAGACAGAAATTGAAAGAAATAAGAAGTCGGAAAAAACTATGAGAGCAGACTATCAAAACAAATGCAATAATGCAAAAGCAAAATCACCAGATATTTCAAAATCTATAGCGAAACATGAAAGCAATGTCGCAACCAAGCTGAAGACTTAGCAATACGCACACATGTGCACAACGGCTGAAAGCATATATGAAAAATATCAAGAAGGAATTGACAATTACTTCAAATCAAATTAATTGAACTGATTGAATTGAACTAAGACATAAATTACTATATCAAATGTGAGTTTTACTTATACGCAAGAGGTTTCACGAGTTTATCAATACGCACAGATTTGCAACTAGGCGGAAGGCATATATGACAAGTCTCAAGAAGAAAATAAAATGCATATGAAGAAAACACTTTCAATTAAAGAAACTGTGGATAGTACAAGACCCTCAAAGGCATACATCGCAACGAATCTATGTAACTATCCAGACTACAAAATACTGTCAAAGTTCAGAACCACTCAAAAATATGTGAACAAACATCAAAAGTTTGAACCAAAAATCAATGTAAGTCTGTGCTCCCGAAGAAAGTTATAATGAATTCAAAAAGAGGATATTATCAAAAACTTCAAAAGCAATAGACTTCAAAAATAGAGGTACGTAACTATGTTAAAGTAATTCAGAAAATATACGCATAAAAACATTATTAAATATTATACACAGTATTTGTCACATGATTTTGATCCGGAATGCAATTTAAATTTTGAGTACATTCAGAAAAATGAAATATTCAAAAGATGAAGTATACACATTAAATTGGAATCAGAAAAATAATTATGACTTGTAAATTTTGTAAATGGTGGACTGGCGTAATAGTTCAAAAGGTTGAAAGAACAACGATGACAAATGTCCAAGGTAAACATTCAACTGCCTTTTACAGGAAATTAGCTTAACAATTATTAAAGGAAATTCTTATCCGTTCGCATCTGTACTAGGAAATCAATATAGGAAAACCCACTCGCTCCAATGTATAGATCGAAAAACTCGCCCCCTTCGATTGAGCGGAAATATGAGTATTGGACTGATTGTAATATTTCAAAAGGTTGAAGGATCAACGATGTTAAATGTCCAAAGTAAACAATCAGCTGGCTCTTACGGCAAATAAGTTTAATCATTATCAAAGGAAATTCTTGTCCGTTCGCATCTGTACTAGGAAATAAATATAGGAGAACCTACTCGCTCCAATGTACAGATCGAAAAACTCGCCCCCTTCGATTGAGCGGATTTTTTTTTTGTAATTATTATATTTTAAAAAAAAATTAAAGTTAAAAACCTGAATACATCAATAAATGACAAGGATCCAAAACACTATAAAAAACTAACAATACAAACAAAAAGTTTCAATACAAAAACAGGAGCAGTCGAATCTTAAAAAAATGATTTTATATCTGACATACATTAAAAAAGTACAGAGACGTTCAAGTCATGTTAATCCAATGGAAAATCAGACACTAATGTTCTAATTTCCCCCAAAGAATATGCCAGATAAAACTATAAAACATTAAAATTCTGAAAACTTATGCTCCAAACAAGAGACAAAATTACCACAATAGTTACTGAGGAACGTATACTATTTCAACAACAAGTTGAAATTTAATTATCATAAATGAATATGTGTGTCTTTGTATAGGTATAGGTATATGATTTAGGAGTCACCCCTCCATTGAAAAGTAACAAAAATATAGTCAAGAAAAACATCATTTGTTTATTGAACAAAAAAGAAAGGTAAGTATCAACGCACTATGTCCAAGTGTCAATACTCAATACAAAAAAGTAAACCGCCAAAATATACGAAAAATTATGAATATCAATTTCATACAATTCAGACAAATGGATAAATCGCAAAATGATTTACTCCAGATAACTCTAGTCAGCAGATTATTGCCATCAGAATGAAAACAAATGATCAAAAGTTCAAGTACAGTCAAAAATTCATGAGTAAAAACATTTGGGGAAGGCAAAAATAATTTTGAAAGTAAATTTCCTACATACCAAACATCATGAGAGCTATATCAGTACACCAGAGATCCAACAATTAGGCTATATATGCATACATGGTAAGTCTCAAGAAATCAAAAAAACTGCACATGAAGAAATACTTTCAAAAACTAAGAGGTTAGTGATCAAAAATGAAAAGCATATAAGAATATATAAACTATCAACAACAATAGTCACAACCTCAATCAAAAGTTTGATGATATTCGACAAAATGCTGGGAAACCTAAAGTCCCCAGACTATCAATATTCAACAAAAAATTATCAAAATATCATCGATCTCAAAACTACAATGAGAAAAAGGTTATAACTGTCCCCAGCAGTAAATAAAAACTATAGTAGTATGTGAGAAAAAAATTCTGGCAATGATCTCGCTGACTACTAAACAAGACAATTTAAAAGTTAATAGAGCATAGTACGCCTATGAAATGAACAGGGGGAAAAATTTTAATCTTTTGATAAAAATTTTAAACATTAAGCAAAAAGTAAGGATGATTAAAGAATTAGAAATTTGAGTACCAAAAGCAATTAAAAATAGAAATGCTGCCAAAAATTGTAAAGAATTTTGAAAACTATGTTCTGTCTGCCAATCTTCCACTAGCAAACCACTTGTCGACAAAGCCAAACACCAATCAAAGCCTCACGTTGCGGGTGCCAATTTATGCAAACCTTCCTTTCCGCAAAAAGTCCAGAAAAGATGGAATGCAATGAAGATTCCAACTTTTCTGCACAATCACAGAAAGGGAGTTACCATTAGCTTCCGGTAGCTCAGTCGGTGGCATGAAGTCATATACAGGCGTGAAGCTGTGTGTCGACCGTGGCATGGCTAGAGGATAGAAGAACAAACAGAACACAAAAATTTAACAGATTTTATTTAACTGGAAAAGCACTTTCATTACATTTGAAATTGAAATTTTAAAGAAAAAAATGAAAGATTTAAATCTTTGGCGCTGTTACAAAATCATCCACTTATCTTTCGCTAAGCTGGTCCATTTTGACTGGACTGAAGCGAGGATGGCCAGATGCTTCAAGTGGAGGTCCCAGTTATGAGGAGTGACCTCACATTTTGGGGCTTCAAAACTAGATGTAGGCGAAGGATGCAGTGAACTTGAACTTGAAGGTGATCTTCATTAAAGATGAAGCTGTAAGTGATGGCGCAGCCAAGGCACATGCATGGGTGAAGGCATTGCAAAGTGATAGGCCAAGCAAGGCAAAGTCAAAGACAAAGGAAGGCAAAGTCAAACGTGCCCCAATGGCCAAAGCATTTTCAATCTCAGTCTGCCTCAAAAGAGAACCAACGATTTTCTAGGTTAGAATTACATTACATAGTTTGATAAAATCAAAACGAAAATTGGAAATGCCTTTCATAAAATAAAATCATGAAATAGCAAAAAAAGCGTAAAACAAGATGGTGGTCATCAAAAATTTCTTCACATGCTTCTGATATAAAAACACAAATATCGAATATTCATAATCAACGTACTCATAATTTCACTGAACTATCAATATATATACGCACACAGAGGTAAAATCGATGTGGATCGATTTCTACCTCGGTTTGATTAAAGTTATGGTTAATGATCGAAGTAGTCAGAAATGACGTTCGATGGATATTTTAAAATCGTACAAGAAATAAACCACTTACATATCGATTATCTATAAACTACAGGCAGATCCAGCAATAAAACTGTATAGTATTATAAAACTCACCATTTTATCCTAGTTGGACACACATTTTACAAAATGCTAGCACATGGTGCTATATGACCTCATGCTACAGAGAACAAAATTCTCAGCTCTTGTTAGATCGGCGGCTCAAGTGGAAAGGAAGCGCGAGGAAGATCACAGATCAGGAACTCCGCATCAAGCGCACTCCAAGCGGAAATGTTTCCAAGTAAAAAAGCTAGAGGCGGGATAAGCTAGAGATGGGATTAATGAGTTGTGATTCTGAAATGAAAATCGAGAAGTGATTTAATAAATACAATCGGACGG